AAGAAGAAGAAGAAGAAGAAGAGAAGAAGAAGAAGAAGAAGAAGAGAAGAAGAAGAAGAAGAAGAAGAAGAAGAAGAAGAATTGGGAGGGATGAAACCCTCTTTAATGGTCACACATGCCAGAGCACACAGCCACACAGTGAAATGTGTTCTCTGCTTTTAACCCATCCTAGTACCAGGAGTCTAGTACTATAGGAGCAGTGGGCAGCTATTGTACAGCGCCCGCGGAGCAATGGGAGTGAGGGGGGAAGGGGGATGTCTGGTGCCTTGCTCAAGGGCACCACGGCAGGAGGTGAACTGGGACCTCTCCAAGTAGAAGTCCACACTCCAAATAGGTCTGGTCGGGGACTTGAACCGGCGACCCTACGGCTCACAGTCCAAGCCCCTACTGACTGCCATAGATTTAGTCCCTAATTTTGCTCTCAAAATGGACCAGATTGATGCATTTAACTTCAACATTTAAAAAAAAATCTTCCCGGGGGAACTTGCCCCCGGACCCCCCTAGAGGAGGTGAGGTCCACCACTTGCCCACACCCCCTGTTAAATTGTCTCACCCACATTGAGGATGCTTCCTACGCCCATGTTTTAATCCATGTGTCAAGTCAGGCAAATTGGGTCAAAATGTTATTGCATCAATGATCTGTTAACATTAAAATCAATAAATATATGCTGTAACTATTTTGCTCTAGGCAACTCAAGGGCTCAGGTAATGTGATTACTATATGAATAATTGTCCAAAATAACATAAAATGCATAGGGGTTTTTGTTAAGTAACATACTTTCGTCGCCGGCCGGCCGATACATGCCACGCATTAAGTGGGCCTGTCTGTCAATGAATCCCCGGGCCACTTTTTCCCCCCAGTCCGCCCCTGCAAGGAGGAATACTCACCAAACCTGGCGAAAGGAAAGCTGTCACATTGTTGTACGAAGACAAATCAGTCTGTGAAATAAACATTTTGCAGATAGTCATTTACCAACTTTGATCAGGTAGGTTTGAGAAAAGCAATACTTTTTTGTTTAGACCTTACCTTCCAAAAGTCTTTTTTAACAAAGGTTGCCTGGCTGGAGGGCACTCCTCTAAAGTGGGCCTTGCTCCTGGAATAGGCCACTAAAATGGAGTTAATCTCAAACCCTGTGCATCGGAAGCCAGCAGAAGAGGCTGCAAACACCTAGAAAACCACATCAAAACACTTTAAATCAGGAATTTAAGATTTTAAGTTGAGTTTTTGGCCACATATAAATTGATTATTTTCAACATCAGCTCACTTACCAGTCTTCCATCTCCTGATCCCAGATCTGCTAAGCGTCCTGTTTGTCCCTCAAGCAGCTGCATAATGTTCATTGTCTGCCCTTTACTGGAGGGCAAATAAGGAACCTGGACCAGAGCACCCACACTTAGTTAATCAATACAAGTCTCAATACAAGTCTCAGTAATAATGCACTATCTAGGTGACACATCTACAGCGCTGCTTCTAATCTCTAGCTGTGATTAAACTGGGTTTAATCTCTGATAATGTAATATTTCACTTTTAGATTTGAGATTACTCAGGCATGCAAACAAATATTAATGTGGCTTTTTATTTTTATTTTAAAATGTCAAATCAAATTCAGATTTTCCATGCATCAAAAAATGCAGTCTAAATAACATTCGGATCATCTTTCCGTTTTTTTCGTGTTTATCGACAACTAAACAACTGCTTGATCCATTATGTTACAACAATGGACAAAATGCAGTTCAGATAAAGTAGTTATAAGTAACGTAGAAGATGGTGCAGCTCTCTCTTGGGTTCACAAAAACATGCACCATTTCTTATGTGAAAGGGTAGAAGAAAGGCAAAGCAAGCAGGTAGCAAACAGGTAAACACAGAATAAGTAAATCTCAAGCACCAATAGGTTCAATGGGATTTTGCGTGATCCAGGCATACAAAACATTCTCCAGACTCCATACAGGCCAGTGAGCAGAGCCCCTGTGCAGGCCGACAGGACGAGGTGGGGCCTGCTGGTAGAACACACCCTGCCAGGGTCTTGCAGAATCACGTCAATGGAGTCCTCCATTACAAACTGTCACTAATACAGGTTAAAAATAAAGTAAATGAAGTAGATTACTGAAACCTGTAATCACTTTATCAAACATAAGGTGATACAAACATTAAACATAAAGAAGATAATCCTCTATGATCAATCCCTTATTCTGTTCCCTCAGTATGAGCTGTTACTATCAGGTAGACAGTAAAGAGTTGAGTGGTGCAAAATGAATGGGTTCAAGAACTCCTTTGAGTTTGTATCAATTGGAATATTAAATAGTAGCCTAAAATAAGCAGAGGGTACAGACGCATTGGTGGGGTACCAAAAACAAACTGACTGATGCCTAGGTGAGTATTTTTAACAGCAGAGCTGGTATTGTTTTCAGTTTGTGTGAATGTGTGTCTCATAATGTTACTGGAGACACTTACTGTAGCAGGAACCACCACAGAAGTGGTTTGAGTACTCTGCCAGGAATATATATTTCTGTCTCTGTGGAGAGTTATTTTTTGTTACAAAATGCAGTCTCGGGACTTTGAACATAAAAGGGATATTTGTTTGATTTTTGTGAGAATTGAGTTGACAAATCAGAGAATAGAAGGGCATTTCAGAAAGGGGAGCATTAAGCAGAATAGCTAGCCACATTCATGAACAATGACAACAGTCAAATTCTGAGCAGCATGCTTGACATTGAACAATTTGTTACAAGCAATGGTTATGTAACTGCTCCTAGCAAACGCTACTGCAGTCTTTATGTTATCTAAAAATGACATAGCCAAAAATATGAACTCACTAGTAAATCATTTTTAAGCTTTGTTTTGGGTTGGACATCTCTGTCAAGTTATCAGTCATCATGTAGCTTTGAAGAATATATGTCATCACTACGCTTTTATAAAAAAGAAATAGTGGGTATAAATTAATGTCTCCAAATAATCCATTATGTAAAAACTGTTTAAACAAGACCTTATGTATTCCTTTTATGATAAAGATAAAGGTGGGATCTCAAACCATTTATTCTAAAAAAAAGACTATGTTAAGATGTGACATTAAAACAGTGCAAGGTTACTAAACAGGATTACATAAACAACAGTCTACCTGTGTGAATAGATATAGCTCACTTCAGGTCAGGTCAGTTAGCTTATATGGCAACAGTAGCTACAACAGAAGACATACATATCCCCAGAGCAACATGTCTCACAGCAGATGGTGCCACTGAGGCCTTCTGGTGTAGCAGCCTTCTAGAAAAGTTTGTTTACCACGCGTAGGTCATGAACTGAAACTGTCTAAAGGACGGCTTTGTAGCCGATATCAATCACTCGCATTCTCGGAAAGGTAAGCTAAGGAGCTCCGCTACATTGGCTATTGAGTTAGTACAAAGCTATACGTTTTAAACACACCAACAGATTTGTAAGATTTCAGATTTTTGTCAACATCGGTGCAAATATGCCAAAGTAAACCACCAGATGCAAAAATATACACTATTGGCGAGCATTTTACACACATATGTACAGCTTTGAAACATTTTAGAAGTTATAACTCACTATCTAAATGTGAGGAAGACATGGTGCTACAGCCTACCTGATCCGCCTCTCTATGCGCGCTCAACCGCCTGGCTGCAAATAGACACACACACACGCACACGCACGCCCCATATCCTCATATGAGATAGGCTACTTATTAACATTGCTTGTATACGCATATTGGTCCTCGCCTTCTTATGACAATGATACCGTTTTGATTTGCTCCTTTTTTAATTAATTATGCATTTGAAAGGAATTTTTGCATTTAAACCTGGAGAGGGCCGATGTGATTATAATTACAAACATGCTGCTTTTTTCACTTCCAACGCGGCGGCGGCCTCATCCTGCACTTGCTCCCATTGAAAGGCTCACAATAATAATATTCATCAGCACTCAGGCCTCACTTATTTGCTCAGCCGCTTGTTCTCTATAGCGGAGCTGCATGTAGTCTAATCGGGGGAGGGGGGGGGAGGTGCCTGCAAGACCAACCGAGAGTGACGCAAAAAGAGAGGCCATTATATTAGCTTCCTGAAGAAAAAAAAGAGGAAAAAATACAGTCCAGCTGGGAGTTTATTATAGCTGGAGTGAATTCGAAAACAGACACGAAATGGACTTGTATGGGAAGGTAAAATGTGTGATTTTATTGTAAGACCATGGAGAGATCCAGAGGGAGAGAGATAGGGACATGATGAAATGGTTAAACCTTAGACTGTGGATATACCGTGCAGTTAGCAGAGGTTTCCATTTTTTGCAGTTTCTCTTGGACATTGTGTGTTGGTGATACATATTTAATAACGAACTACAAAGCTTTCCCTGCGCTTCCCGAGTATATTACACATGCTGCTGACAGATGTGCTGCGCTTAATGCTGGGTAATGTAGTAGAATCTATTATTTGGATGCCCTTCGAAACCGTGAAAAAACTACAACCCCCATGTTTTGGACCATATCGCGTACGTCAGAGAAACGCATGACACGCTCTTTCCTTGCTCGTGCTCATCTCACGCGAGGCAGCCTCGTCAGCTCAGGGGCGCGTGCCATATCCGAAGTGGAAGGGACAGCTCCCAGGTGCTGAAACTGGTCGGCGCTCACAGAGAAAGAGACACAGAGCGGGGAGAGACCAACGCCTGCAATAGACACAAATACCAAAAACCGTATTTGCAAAACAGGGGCAGATACAGATAGAGCCGAGGCCTTCAACACAGGTTTGTTCACTCAATTCCCTTAACGTGTTTCGGTGCTCTCATTTATTAATAGTTATGTGCAAGAATGTCATGAATACATAAAATGACCTCTTGCCCAGAATTGCTCGACTAGCATTAGCTGGCATGTAGCTTATTGCTCAGCTATACCGTGTCAATTCATATTGGATCTTTTGTTTTTGATCGTGGTGTGCGTAAATACCAGCATTGCATTGATATTTTAAAAGAGACATCCTTACAGATGCCGCATCGGTGGTATTTGTCTTTCATACACGGAAGCGAACATACACCCGGTGCAGGATCGAGCTTCGGCATCTTTCATAACCACTTGGCTACAAGGAGAGCTCGGCTGCCCATGTTTGTTCTTTAAGCGCAGTGGCTTTGTGAAAACATTCACCTTGGAGCAAAGATGACTGTGCTCTTCTTGACATCTTGTTCTTAGTCGCGTTGTTCTCTGACAGCACGCAAATGCTCGGTGTAAATGTGGTTTTTTTGGAGGTGAAATGTGCATTTCCATTGTAGCCTACAGCAGCTCATAAGAAAATGTAATGGCTGGTGAAATTGCCTTGCCTTTCTCATATGAAAGCTATTTTGTAAATATGTAAGATGGACACATTACACACTTTTAATTGTAACATTTTAACTGGCAAATCTACGTTTTAGTTTGACATATTTTGTTCAAATACAATATGGGTGTATTTTACAAAGTATTAGTACTTAATCTAATTCATGAGCTTTTAAGGGAATAAGGGCTATAACAACATTTATTTAACCAATCAGTTTAGCTATAGAAAAGACAACGTCAGGTCTTTAAAATCCTGGTTATCTAATACTCATCAATACAACAGCTTGCTGCGTTGGTCATGCTTATTTGCCTGACACAGCCTTCTGTCACCTCTGATCTGGGGCCTGCTCAGCGAGCCTGTACTGGACTCTGTTTATAACATCCACATTCAATTGAAAAACAAATATTGTGTTTATCATAAGATTATTTGCAGCACAGCTCTGAAAAGCTTCACAGTAGCTCAAGGTGAAGCTTTGAATAAATTCTTTTCAGCATCTCTTTTGTGTTTTTGCAGATGGCTGCCACTCAGGATGCGAAAGGGAAGGGAGAGGGGGGGGACCAGAACTTTGACTACATGTTTAAGCTGCTGATCATTGGCAACAGCAGCGTAGGCAAGACGTCCTTCCTGTTCCGCTACGCCGATGACGCCTTCACTTCGGCCTTCGTCAGCACAGTGGGAATCGACTTCAAAGTGAAGACTGTGTACAAGAATGACAAGAGGATCAAACTGCAGATCTGGGTATGAAATATTAAATTATTTAGAAGTTAGCCACAAAATGTTTGATTCCTGACCATACCAGATATAAAACAGTGGATTCAAGCTATTAAATTATGTTACTTTTGCCAGTCATTGGCTAGTCAACACAAGATGATTTCTTCCTTATTTGCTGTTAACTCTTAAATAACCTGCCAATTCCACATTAATCTTTCTAAACTCAGCATGGGATTTGTATATTATTTAATGATGCTAATTTATAGAAGGAAGAAAAAACGATTTTTAGACTATATTACAGCAGAATGCATGAAGCATTAACTGTGGGTTCCTTTTCATGTCACAGTTTATTTCGTCATGCCAACCGTGCACACATTCAAGAGCTGTATTGTGTTTCCTCGGTTTAACACACCAGGGAGGCTGTGGCTCAGTGGATTGTGCGCAAGTTCGAATCCCACTGCAGTCAGAATGTCGTTGTGTCCCACTTCACCCCAAATTGCTCCTGTGGATTGTCCACAGTACTGAATGTATGTAAGTGGCTTTGGATAAAAGCGTCTAACAAGTGACATGTAATGTAATGTAATATGGAGACAGATGGAAGGCTTAACATTACTGTCAGGAGACTAGTAAGTGTGAGCTTGTCACACAGCGGGAAAAAGCAACACCTTTCTTTGAATGTGTGGGAAACGAATGTATGAGGCTGTTTAATCAGGAGTTCATCTGAGCTGCAGAAGCAGATGGTCTTGTAATATCTCTGAAATAGTGCAGGGATAGATATGTCAAAGACCTTCTCTTTCACTCTATTTCTTTTTATTTCTCGTGTTTTGTTTGCTTTACCAAATGGCAGAGATTTCCTTCAGAGATTTAATTATTTGTTGGTATAACGGTTGCCTTTTGCAGCAATTAGCCATCACCCAGACATTTGGTGTTTGCCAATCACATAAAGAGGCCAAAATAAGCAATCCAGCAGGATGGGAAATCTAGATTTGAACAGTGTGGCTAATTGGGATAATGTGTTTTCATCATCAGCAAAGACAAGTATTCAGTAAAGCCCCTGTCACACTGTCCCGAAATTGACACCAGATGGACACACGATAAAGGAAATGTTCAAATTCGGCTCTGATCGTAACAACATCGGGCCATTAGTGAGGGCATCTTAAGCCTTCGTATGACCGCCAGTGGAGTTTCTCAGGCTTCAGCAGCAACTTTGTGAGTGGTGACAAAATCTTTGGCATGCCAAAAAATTGCCGAAGGACCTTGCGAAGGTTCATTTTCGTGTTGAATTTGTGTGTCCATTTTGCCCTTCGTAAGGCACTCGTGAGGGCATCTCGACAAATCGTGTCATCTTCGTCTGATCATCCATGCCATCGGGCATTTTTCGCCTCACGAAGACAATACGAAGGAAACAAGAAGCTGCCCGATTGTCTTAGAAAGGCAACACGACTACGTGAAGCCCTCGCAATGCCGTCGTGTAGCCATCGTATTATAGTTCGATGACATCGAGATTGCATTTATTGCAAAACAAAATCATGTAAACATAT